AAATTAAAACAGCTTTTTACTATTACAAAAATAGATAAAGCAACTAATAACTTTAGCATTATATGAAAACAATTCTACGCTGAAATTATTCATAAAGAACTTCTCAACGCAACTACTTATCAATTAGCCAACCTTACAGAAACATCTATAATAAACAGGATTAAAACTTTTCATAAGAAACTCAATATTACTTTCAATGCAAACTACAACAGATTTACTAATCTTTATGCGATTCCCAAATTCCATAAAACACCATTAAAATTTAGATTTATTAGCTAATGGAACTAATAATTACAAGAAAAATGTAGACTATTATTTTTCAATTCAACTTAATAAAATCTGTAAATTTATTTTCAATGATTGTAACACTAATCATAACTATTGCTGGATCATTCATAATAACACTCCTGTCATTAATACCATTCAAACCATTAACATCCAAAACATTAACTGCTATGATTTTGAAAACTTATATACCTCACTTCCTCTAGAAGAAATCTATACCAGTCTACTTGATCTAACCTAAACTTTTCCCTGATATACTCAATATCATGACTCTTGACAAATGGAAAACCTACCTAAAATGCACACTTTTTCATAACTACATCAAGTTTCAAAATCAAACTTTTTAAACAAGTCAGAGGATTGCCAATGGGCTTACATTCCAGCACCTCGATCTGTAATATCTTTTTATTTGTCAAAGAATTTAACTTCCAAAAAAATCTACAACCACAAGAGTTAAATTACTACAAACACACCTACAGATATATTGATGACCTTATTACAATTAATAATTTTGGTAAAATTGAACACTCCGAGATTTATCCGAATTGTCTTACACTTAATAAAACTAATAATTCACAAAATAGCATAGACTTTCTAGATCTTCAAATCATTAACTACAAAAAAAATTTTACTTTTTGACAAAACAAGAAACTTCAATTTCAATACTAACAAATTAATAAATTGGAACTCCAACATATCCAAAAAAGTAATTAACAATACTATAATTAATCAAATACAACGAATTAAAACTATATGCACAGATACAATAGATTTACAACGCGAAATTTTGATCCTTATTCAAAATTCTCAAAAATAATCTAATTCCCATTCAATTTATCAACCATTGCCTTAAAAGAGCAGGCGTTAAATACTCACTCTAAATCATGTAACTGATAGGGATATGATAATTTGTTCCTAAACCTGAGAAGGCGGTATAAGTTGGATGACTGTCAGTTGAAAGATTTGTATATAGTGTAATTACTCAATTGTATATATTGTAAAAAGCTAATTGTCTTCAGACTTTTACTATACTGTTACTAAAAAAATGGGCCTATTTCATGACTTTAGTCTGTCTAATAGCTCTTGGACAGTGAAAATTCCTTTTTCCTTTCTTAAATTCTTAATCATTGCGACACGACAATTAGCCAGAAATTAATTAATTTCCATTCACTAGTATTTTTTAAAAAAATCTTAACAGACGGTCTCTCTCAAGATAAGAACTCCACAAAATACATCCCTCAAGAATTCCAAGTCCCACCCACTACCATAAATTACTTCACCCAAGTCTTACCGACTGATATTATTCAAAGCCCCTACTGCCGCTAAGAATTTTCGGACACCCTAACACTTATGAGTCAGACACGAAGAGAACACTTTGCCAACTCCCCCACTAGAAAGAATGTAAGTTACTTAATACCTTTTCTGGCCTTTATATCTTCATGTACATTCACTGATCTTATTTATATTATTTTTCTATTTTATTTTATATTATTTTTATTTATTTTTTATGTCTTTGATTTGTTTTTACAAAGTTTGCATTATTTATCTTTTTTGTAATCTTCTATGTTTATTTCAACTTTACTTTGAATTTCGATTTCATAATGACAATTTCCAATGTTTAATTTCTACAAATAATATAGTACTCAAAATGCATAAACATGATAGTGTCGGGGACGGTTACTCGGAGTTTACAAGATTTCTCTACAGTAATTGATTTTTACTCCAAATTGAATTGACTAAAATGCTTCATAAGAATAAGTTCTTTGAGTATAATCAACCTTCTATTCGCGGAAATATTTGGCCTGACTAGAATTGCCGGTTTGGCTTTAACTTATAACTCGAGTAAAGACGAAACACTTTCGTATTTACGTATTTTTATCAATTATTGTTCATTGAACGGGAGTTGGTTTGTTCCCCTTGAAAAGTCAACTAATTTCCGATCAATGACAATGATTACATGTTTTAATTTTTCCTTTTACAATTGAAATTATTATTCTTCATGATGATTTAACTCCAGTCCCCGTTAAAACATTATTAACATTTTGCTTTCAAATTACTTCAAAACATCTTTCAAAATATAACTTACCAGTATGGATTGCACACTTTTAAAATAATTCTACTTTAATTAAACTTAGGAGATAATATAATCAATTAATCAATACTGTTTAGGAAATAAATTATTATATATATATATAATTTATTATTAAATTAATGCGTTTAAAATCTATTCTGTATTGAATTCATAACAAACTATATGCAAAAATAAAAAAACACAGAAGCGCATGGGTAAATTGCACGAAAGGTGCAATAAATGTTAAAGCTCAAAATTGGGGGGGGGAAACTAATTTACATTCGTTGCATCGAAGGGGGGTTGTCGTAACGAAATAAATCAGATAAATCAGCATATTTTTCTGAACTAACAAAGACACATTAAAAATCAGAGTTGGATACATAAAATAATCTCAGAAATTAATCAAAGTAATCTTTCTTTTTATCAGTCAGAGGGGATGGACTATACATATATATATTTGTTATACTATCAGTCTTGAGATCTATTTTAACGACCCTGTAATGTAGATACTTCATATACTCGTATATCCTGAGATTCAAATACGTTACATTTCCAGCAATTTAAAAATTGACATAATTGTTGAAAACGCAAATAATAAAAAACGCATGAGCTATTAGAAAATATTCCTTAGAGTAAAAATTACGACAAATTATTAACAATTACCAAAGAGAATAAAATTATTTCACATGCATATTCAGTTATTATACAAGAGTAAATATTAATGCTCAAATCGCTTTCAATTTTCTGCGTTAGAATCATTAGGTTTATTTCGAAACACTTAAAAGCGAGAAAATCAGCGATGCCCTCGCTGGGATTCTAGTTCAGACTTTCCGATTGCTTGCCGGGCGTACTTCCAACTACACCACAAAGGCACGCAGTAAAGAGGGAAAAGATGTGTTGTGACGTATCTCATTTGTCTGACAGTAACACCAGAACAAGACCACGAAATTCATCGTGGCAAGGAGAACAAGATTGCGCCTGTAACAAGAGCCTTGATTACCATACAGGCGACGGTACGATTTCGCTCAGTTTCGCCTCCAATTTTGATGGAGAGCACCCCGGGGAGACCAGACCGAGGGTCTCTCACCCCTCTTTCCCTACAACAAACTTCTCGAGAGGACTTCCGACTTATATATTTAGAGTGTCCCTATGCCATATATTTACAGTGTCCCCATACCCCATGCAGAGGCACTATACATTTACAAACAACTATCTCCGGGATAAACAACCCATCCTTCGGTACATTCTAAAATATCTGTTGGACGGTGGACGCCATTTACGTTTTCGATGTGAATTTGTAGTTCGATTGACTTAATAATTAATACATGTACATTAAAAAAGAGATCGGTCGCATTTCGCTTTGTATTGGTATCTGTGTTGGACGCGATTTCTATTTCATTAAAAATTAGAAAACTTTCACATAGAATTTTATTGAAAACTGAAACATTTTCATTGTGATCGCGCAGTGGGGGGCACACGTTAAACGATCGGCTGGCGCCATGGTACCCACGAGCATAGGGTTGGGACCCCGGTCCTAACTACTTTACCGTCTGGGCGGCAGAGAGAAAAAGTACCTTGCGTTATGTCCTACTAAAGGGGACCCAATTGCCAAATCCTGGTAGAGACGAATTTTCGACCACAACATTTTAGTTTGGGCGCTACTTGTGGAGCGATTAGATATTTAATGGAGGAGGTACCATGAAAAATGAGCAAAACAGCACTTGTTCAAATACACTTCTAATATCACATATGAGATTTAATCTTTGTCTCTCAGTTATTAGTAAGTTATTACGCAATTATCTCAACTTAGAAGTTGTAATAGTTTAATATATTATATTATTACCATTAGTTTATTGTGGATTGAAAGGTTTTTGGTTATTAGTATTTTGGTTATCAGTTATTAGTTATTTTTGGTTATCAGTTATTTAATTACTGTTGCATTTTGAGCTAAAGTACGTGACGACCGTAAATTCTTTGAAACAGGTGATAGTATAAAAGCAGAAATTAGGAAACAGGATTAAACACTAGCTCTTACAATGCTACTGATACGAATTTAAGCATTTCAGGTGTATTTAATATTCTGAAATTTTCAAAGCTGGTTCAGGATAGAATATTTTTTTTTATTGTGAAGCTATAAGGTATTTCTCCCGCCTTCTTAGCATGCCTTCTTGGTGAAATGGTCAGCACACTCGGCGCGTATTCGAGAGGTCCGAGGTTTGAGTACCTGAGAGGGCATTGATCATTTTTCATGTCTCCTGCTTTGAAATAACCTAATATCTCTACAAACCAAGAGTGGGAATATCCGTACTTTTCAATAACTTGTTATAAATGTTAATGAAATATTTTTTACTGAAATCTGAATTCAGCTTGTTGGTGATAAGCTGCCAGTTTTCATTCGTATAAAAAGCAGTTTAAAATTGCTGTGATAATTCAAGCTAAGCGCAGGGTGAATATGAAATAATGAAATATTTTCATGATAGTTTTTATTGTGTGTGTGTGTGTGGACTTTACCTAAAGTGGAATATTTGTTATTTTATTCGTATGAAAGAGAATGTTTTTTCCTAGGCATACCAAAAATAGAAATTGTTTTAGCCTTTACATATATTTAAATAAGAATTAATAACATAATATTAGGCAAATCAATTTACTTGTTCAGTTTCCGAATGACAGATTTCAAAGTTTGAAAGTCTGGTCTCTCTCCTGGATCTTCAGACCAACATCTCTTAATTACTTGAATCATGCTTTCATCACATGTGTCTGAATCCAGTCGAGGGCGGAAAGGTGGCTTCAATCCGTAACATACATTTTCCACAATTTCTGAAAAGAGAGAAATGCATTCTATTATTCAGATATAAAGCATACTGTAGAAATCAAATATACAGCTTTTACATTTGCATTATTGCAAACTTTGACTTCGTGTATAATTCTAGGATTACTTCGCATAGAATTTTGAATTATACAGAAAAGTTTTCGAGCTTGAAGATTGATTTCCTGGTTATATCAGATGATTTGAAACAATATGTTCGTATTTTTATGATTAGATTTAATCTCAAGTAGATTAAATTAAGATTAAAAGGTGATTAGGTTAAATTAGAACTTCATTAGTCAAGATAACCTCCTTCATAATCTACAATACCTTGCTAACATTTTGGTAGCATGAAAAAACTATGATGATAAAACGCTCTTGTTTAAAGGCGATAAATTTCTGAATATTGTCTTTCGAGAGCTTGGTGTTTAGTGAACTGGGTATTTATCGTTTGTAAGGACCATGAAGCCAAATTCCCCAACACGTACGCTGTGACGATTCTGGCGTTGTTGGCGTCACAGCTTAACTACCGATAATATAGATAGGTGGCGCTTATTTTCAAAGTTGATCCAATTTAGTGTATTTTATTCCTTTTACATTGTTATTTAGGTTTTTCTGCCATTTTGCGACGATGATGATAATCTGGAAATTGCCAAAGAACGAAGAAGATGCTATAAGTTTCTTCCAAGAGAAAGACATTTTAAAATGAAACCATTTTTGTGCAAACGGCCATGCACTGGGGTTATAAGTAGGCGAGAAATGCCGTTGAATGTGTAACGTTGTCAGTTGTCGGCGTACGGTCGGTCTTCGTATTAAGAATTTCTTGGGGGGAATCTAGGATTCCATTTACAAAAGCCTTGCGCTTTATTGGGAAGAGGAATTTACTTTTGTGTTGTGGTGCCAACGTTAGATGCATTTCAGCCCCGAAAGTTCTGTAACAATTATATACTTGAAATTTGCTTACTGTACCTGCAGAAGCAATCGATGAAGACTGCGGGAACAGGGAAGATAATCGAAATCGACGAAAGTCTTTTCTTGGAACAGAAAAGTAACTGCCGCCTATTGCTTCCCGAGAATCGGTGTTTGGTGGCATTTACCGGGAACGAAAGAATGCTTTTGCGTAGCGATGCCCGTTTGGAAAGCAAATACGTTTTTTCGAGAAATTGCTGCACTCATAGAGGACGGCTCAACGATATTTTCGGGTTCCTGGTGTGGCTACGAAATCGGAGAAATAGAAAAAGCCGGCTTTGAACATTCAAAAGTGAACCACTTCATGGATCCAGAAACCGGGACGTATACGCAGACCATAGAAAGGCTGTGGAGATCTGCGGAACAAAAAGCATAGAGGAGCTGCGAGACATCACTTGAATTCGTATCTCTCAGAATTTATGTGACGCAGTGTAACCGGTAGTGATAAATTTGGTTAAATTTTATTGCCAACCGCTGAGTTGTAAATAATCTAACTCCATTATAATTTATATTTTTATTACAAAGTTAATAACGAAATTCTGTTGTTATTCCTTGTAACCAGAGCACATTACTTTTGTTTTTGTTAAGTAAAAGCTTATTAAACCCATTATAATTCAAATATATTTTGAATAAATTAAATATATGATTTTATAGTATCAGATAATATCGCCAGTGTTGGCGATAACTCAGAAGAGAAGTCGCCAGTGCATGATTCCTATATACTATATACCGCAAACTGAATACTGGAATGATAAATGTAGTAAATGTTTGAAGAGACATCAGTGAAATTGAATAAGACACAGAGCCTCTCAACCAAATTACTTTATATGAATTTTAAAAGAAGTTTCTCTGATATGTCTTTATAATTAACTACAGCCGTTTGCAGTTGGCATTCTAACAGTATACAGGTAAATAATAGCTAGAGTGTGCATTAGTAACTCAGAGTGAACAACATCAACAGCCATAAAAACAAGTAAAACCTTCTTCAAATGTAGATTGGGACTCCATTTGAGAAGGTTTCTTTTTAATAGCTATTGATAAGATTGAGAGTATAAACAATATGATTGTCGTAAAAGTGATTGCTCGATCCATTAGAGGTTCCATTTCATGCTATTGCAAAAACAACAAAGATTTCACTAGGCTTTGTGGTTTGTTGATTCCGGCTACAATTTGAGGGATTCATTTAATTTTTAATTTCGTCTATTCTGTGGAGATAGTTATTGTTAATAAGAGTTGAATGACTGTTTCTTTATGCATTAGACAAAGGTTAAACTCAACTAACCCTGTCAAAGTTTCATCATTAACGCATATGGGTGATCCAGACTTTCATCATTTTCATAAAACTGCAAATGAAAATTGCAACTCCTTAGATGATAATATACTTGACTTGGGTATCAGTTAGATATATTTGTATTATGATGAAATTTGAATTCAAAGAGCAAATCAATTTGAGTTTTCATTGCATAATTCTTTAAAGCAAATTTTTTAATAATTTAAAGCCATATCTTTTATTTAAATTAGAATATTAATCAGAAGAACGTTTTCAATGTTATGTGAATCCTCCATGTTAATGTATGGTTTATGTAAATCGTCTGCTGTTTATAACTGAGTGTAGAAACGCAATCGAACTTTTAAAATGATTTCATATCTTCTATTTCATTTTTATTACTAGAACACTTCAAAAAATTATTACTACACACAATTGTTAATATTTTCTCTAATTCTACGCACAAACTGGTTTATATTTTATAAAATAAATTTGTTTAGACTGTTTTATGAAGTTAGTAGTCGTTTTCGTTTTGAATTAAATAACGAATATGCTTCCAAAATCCAAATGAAAAGAAGATATTAAAAGCAGTTCATAACAATTTGCTTATTAAATATAGTATATTAAACATAACGAAAATCGTTTGCTAATTAATCAGTGGAAAAGGAATGAAATTAAAATATTCTTTCATTTTGAAGCTTCACAGTTTTCAAATTAAATTTCTATTGTTCTAAATTAAAAAAATTATTAATGTAAATTAACAGTAAATAACACTTTATAGACATTACATGAAATCTTTAATATGTTGATTTCTTTGGCAGGCCGTTGTGAAGTATAATTAACTATTATTTACAAATTTCGACAGGAATGTGAATTTTGTGTTTAGTAACATATAATTACGATATTACCCCGCCAAAGTTTTCTTTACGAGTATGCAAATGAAATAAATAAAAATAAATTTCAGACTTTATGTGTAAAACGAAGTGAAAATTTACTAAATGAGTTTTGAAACTTTTGTTGAGAAATATAATAATGAAATAATTAATAACCTTTTCGGAAATATACGTAAAGTTACACAACAGACAGAATTTACCTTTTGGTGAAAGCTCAGCGCCAGTGTAGAAGACACTTCGTCGAACAACTATCTCATGGGCGATGATAGCGAATGAATAGACGTCTCCTTTTTGCGTTCCATCTAACGGTCTGTTCTGCATCCTCAGCAACTCAGGAGCTGTCCACAGTTTCCCTAAAAATATTTTGTATGCATAACGAAGATACATGTTCTGTCATTAAAAAAATATTTCTTTCGATATCTGCAATTTTAGCTAACCATATTTTCAGAAAAAAATCTTAGTGGCTTCCTTATGTATTTATCACATACACATAATTTTACGATATTTTTCCGTTATGCACCTGACACTCTTTTTGTCTTCTGTGAAAGAGAAGCCAAGGATTTCTTTTATATAATCTTCGTGATTAACAGCGTTCAGTCGATTTCAGAACTACGCTTTTACGCTTAACCAGGATATGTACGCGATGTTGACATGTTTCTTTCTATGATTATCTCGCGTTCTGTGGCAAATATATGAGCAGTGACAAGTTTTTGTGTTCAGTAACATATAGTTAGGATGAAAATTTACACTCAGGGAAATTTTAATCAATCTATGTACTAGATTTTATGAACACTATCTCCATGTTTTTATTGCATTTAATTAAATGAACGATTAAAAAAAATACTATACGTAAAGTGATATTAAAGCAAAGCTTACTTCTCCAGTGAGCATACGAATCTTCGTTCTCATTTTCGTCATAAATTCTAAGACAATGAAGACCAAAATCCGTCACTTTCAAGACAAAGCGACTATCCACAACACAGTTAGTAGATTTTAAATTCCCATGAGAACGTATTTCACTGCTATGAAGGTAAGCCATTCCCTGGAAAAAAGGACAATTCATATAATAAATACAACGAAGTACAAATTAAATAGAAGCAAAAGAGCTAATTTCATCGACTAATTTAATTAATCTTCATGTTTTTTTCCGTATCTGTGTTTTCTCGTTCTAAGTTCATATAATTATAAACAAAGTTGATTTTATATAATTCCATTGGCCATTTAATCTTCTGTAACGTAGAAATTCATCAATACATTTAAATTCGTCTTATATGTCTTATACGAATCATTCTCTTTCTCTCTCTTTTTTTAAACGCCTTAAATTAGTCTTTTATGGCTATCTGATACTTGCGCCAGGTAATGTATTGACTATAACAGTGAAGTGCTGTGCAGTCAAGTGAATATAGCATATTGTTACGAAATGTATAGGAGCTTTAAGATGGCTTCCCCGCAAAGCAGTTTTAGGGTTGCCATAAAATAGCAAGAAGGGAAGGGTTGCCACATTTGGAGAGAAATTGCCCATTTGGCGAAAAAATTGGCGATAAACCATGGACGCTTGGAGAACCTTCTGGAACGAATTCTTACCGGTTTAGCCCAGAATGTTCTCGAACACAGGCCGAAAGCTATATAAACCCTCCTGGTCCGCAGTCAACCAGTGTGTGCTTCATCAAGAGGGCGAGTGAGTGTGCCTCGTCTAGTCAGTATCGAGTTGGCGTCACGTCTAGCGAGTCAATCCCTACGGAGTCGATCGAGTTGACAGCCGGGCAACGAGTGCCGAGTAGGTCGTCGAATGCATCGAATGAGTCTCTTAGTGTATCGCGGTTAGTGCATCGTCGAAAGAGCGTGTTGAGCTCTGGGAACGACTGAACCGAAGAGTCGGGAGCCTTGCTCTGTGTGTTGTCGAGTGAATCGCGAGATGTAGCGTGGAGAGTCTCGAGAGTACGTGGAGTTCCGAGAAAGACCGAGCAGAGTCGGGAGCTGTACTCCGGAAAGCAGAGTCGGGTGCTTTGCAGAAAGCGGTCTCCACCGCTATTGTCTGACAGTGTGAAGGCTGTGTCGCTGATTGTTCCAGAGTGTATATAGTAGATCTTCGACGACCTGTAAAAGTGATTTTGGAGCTGTGTCTGATTAATATTGGCTAAATAAAGTGTGTTTCGATACTTCATCCAGTGTCGTTGTTATCCACTCCAGATCTACGAACCCCGTACGAACGTGAAGGAAGAAAATAACGTAACAACTGGTGTCAGAAGAAAAGAAAAACGCATCAATATTTAATCGAAGCGTATTAGCATATAGTATAGTTCATTATCATTTATATATTGAATATTTATTCACTAACCACAACAAATGCCTCTTTTTTTAAAAACAGACAAAATAAACATGAAAAAATCCAGCTTTGTTTAGTTTCGGTTACACAGAAATAAATTGTGCGTTTGCTTTATGGAAATAAAAAATAATTGTTTGTTTAATTCAGCACAGTAAAAATGCAAAAAATATCTTGTGTTTAATCTTTATCTGTGTAAACAAAACCTTATTTCATTTTAAGTAAAAAGGAAACGGGTGGTGTGTTTAGTTAAGCAAAAAATTTCACTGTTCCTACTTGAGAAATAAATCTGATTAATTTTTTATTTTTTTAAGGGTTATCTTTAACCAAATAGAACAAGATAAATGAAAAAAAAATGAAATGTCTTAATAATAATAACAATAATAATAGTAATGATTTAAAAAACCCCATAGTTATTCGTATTTTTTCGATTACTGAAATGGCTTTAGTTTCAGCTGTTCTTCAATTATATCAGTAAAGCTCTATCGTACACAAATATTTCTTTGTTTACATTAATATATAAATTTTATTATTGTATATAAAGATTAAATTTTAAATAGATACCCATAGTTTATTAAATAATCCGGACAGTGTGGAAGTAACCAGGGTTTGCTGTATTATAATGTTTACGTTTTCGTCTGTCATTGACTAATAGTCTGCTCCAAAGCAACTATTTCCTACTTCGTTTTGTGTTTCCATTTCTTCCACTTCTGTAAGGTAAGTGAAGTCATTGAATTCGAATTTTAGGAAGAGCTAAACTTGTTTGTATAATGATTTTGGGCTTATCATGACTTGTGATTACTTAGAACATCACATGCCCCTATTCAAATGTTATATTCTCACTCCTGTATACACTTCTTAAACTTATCAATATGTGCGTTCGTAGATTAACGTGCAAAAGTATTTTTATTATATGTAATTGTACTGCATGAAGTAACCAAGCAATCTGATTTATAATTTCATGAAATTAACAAAAACAAGCATAATTAATCATCAATATAATTCAGTTTTATCAACCTGATCCTGACAATATGAAGTCGTCCAAAAGAGGGATAAAAACTCTGCGCTAAGTAAACCCTGCGCTTGAAATTCTGGTTTTGAATTCAGTTTTCATTGGGGCAAAATAGTTTCTTATGAGGCTGGACTATCATTTGAAAGCACCTATGAGGCGGAGAGCTATCCGCTATTTAGAAGTGAAGCAAACAAATGTGAAAGTAGAAAATGATTGAATACCTTAATACAGAAATTCTTAGCCCCAAAACTCTGACGTTGAAGACAGGAAACCGAGCCTAAGTCGCATATTGCTTTTTAAGACTAGTTTCAGCCTATTGCTTTCCATTCCAGTAAGAACTTAATTGGTAGCAGTTTAGTTTGTATAACTTAATTGGTAGCAGTTTAGTTTGTATAACTTAATTGGTAGCAGTTTAGTTTGTATAACTTGCACTGACCACTGCAGCTTTTGGATCTGCAGCAAATTGTATACAGAAGACTTTTATGTCAGAAAACTAGCGGTTGTATTTCATTGATTTTATAATAAAACAGAAGCCGCCTGATTTACTGCAGAGATCATCAAATCTAGGTGTACAACAGTGGACCTGCGTTCTGTTCAATGACGATGAGACGAGGTCCAGCTAAGCATTTTCTTTACCAGTATCAAGGATATGACCATTACGGCGATGTAGGTATCATAGTTAAGGAGGAACAAAGATCTGCACACATTGCTTTGAACATATTCAATAAAGGATCTGTACTATTCTAGAAATATCAAGATGAAATGTTACTACTCAAAGCAAAGTCTTTAAGTGATGCACTTTACTGAGAGCATGAAATCGAAATCGGATTATGTTATGTTTATATGAGCTACTGCATATTTCACTGTTATTGTCAAAAATCTGTACTGTGTCTGAAATATTTGCTCTTTTCTACAATTTCATTATCGTGTATTATTTTAATTTTTTAGTTATGGGATATTATGCATGATTTTAACTGAATTCATACACATTTATTAACTAGTCTTTGAGAAATAAATGCTTCTGTGCATTTAAAGGAAGGATAAATTTAGACGCATGTGTATAAATGTAAATATACAACAACGCCAAGTTAAAAAGAGACAATTATATACTGTACATATGGCGACTAGCCTTCATGGGACGCTAACTTAAAAATAATTTATCTTCTGTATTTAATCATTTAATAGTTTTGAATACTGGAACTGACCCCAGTTATTTTATATTTATTAAATTTAAAGGGAAAATATTTCACTTTTTACAGTTCCAATTTCCGGTTTTGGATCTATAAGTTTTAATCTTTATGATAATCAAAGATTTTAACTAAGTAAAAATTCTTATATGTTATGTTCTTCAATAAATCAAATTCCCATGGTCAAATTTCTTAATGAAAACAAGAAATATTTTTCTAAAATAAAAATATTAGGCAACTATGGAAACGCAACACAACATCTAGATGATTTCCTCCCTTAAGAAGAAACAGGAATTATAAAGACTTTATTAAAATAATACTATTTATTGAAATTACCGGCTTAGCTGCATTGTTGCTAATCAGTTAAACGAATAATTCTAAACTATTTTTGAAATTATTATCTAAAATATAAATGCATATTTACAATTAAAAATAATCTATTTTGAAATCATCTCCATTCACATGCCACTCCTGTTAAGTTCATGCAATATTTTATTATATATATTAAGTAGAATATCAGTAATTGAAAAGTTAATATTAAATCTTGCAACAGTAAATGACATTTTACGTACAGTATTGAAGAGTAATATTTATATTTAAAAAGTGTTCCTACTTTAACGATGTCATGTATCAAACTGAATCTAAACATCCAATCTAGTTTGATTTCATCATTTTCAAGGATGTCCTGGGGGGAAAAAGGAGAACAATGTAGGATTTATGCATATTACAATAAAGCAGTCTACTTACATAAATATAAATTTTATTGCTAAAGTTCAAAATATCACAAAATAAGACATATTATTAAAAAGTACTAGCATAAATTGAAATAAATCCAGCATAGATATCCTGGATAGATTTATTTAGAAAATCCTAGTTACGAATAAAAAATGGTGCAATTCTTGTGTGGTTTCAGTACTTAGCCTTTCTCTTCTATTGACTTAGATTAAAGACTGGAGTTTACGCTCTGCCTGGAGAGCTAATTGACTTACAGCAATTTTAACACGAAATTTCTGCGATTTTAGGTAAGTCAGTCAAAGAAAAAAATCATTTGATATCTTAGATAACGAACACTCAGAATCTGCTACTGAAATTAAAGTTAGCACTTTAAACTTTGAAAAGTGTTGAGAAAATACATTTTGTTAATATCTGACAACTCTTAGACGGTAAAAAAAGCTGAATAAAGTTGTCATTCAATTTTTATTAGGTCTAAGTAGGAGCAGATTCTAATACATTAGTTGCTTTTACTTTCTATTGTGTTTATTTTCTCTGATCAAGATACAAAGCTAAGTTCCACATGAAATTATAATTCGTCAACAGCAACGTCAAATTAGCTCAGCAAACTTTGGAACTCCAGCTAAATAATGCTTAGTAACTGCTTAAGTTTTATAGTTCATTTGATAAGCTTGCAAAAGTAATTACTTTCAATGCAATTCCTTTTCATATGGCTTTACATAAAGTAGCACAAGTCATTGTCAAATGACATAATATAATACAAACGATTTTTTAAATATATGTTTTGCTCAATAAAGCCAAAAATCTGCTTTTTTAGACTATACAACTGCGATTAATTATTTGTGAGACACTAAGTTTTCTAAATGAATACGTTTCACAAATTTGTGCAAATGGGAGCCCGACCAGCAGCTGAGTGGTTAAGGCCTCTAAATACTGGCCTATAATATACCCTAAATGCAGTTTGACCTGGCTTAGGTTCGAACTCAGGTGACTGGTCTGGTTGCAGGTTAAGTTTTCATGGTTTTTCCCATCTGTAACGTGATAGCGAATCAGGTTTCCTCAGAAATTCCTCGATGAAAGTACCCCTCGTCTTAGAACATAGCTTTCGTAGCTTTTCCGTATTGAAATAACTAACTAAAATTTTGAGAATAGAGAGCTGGTTATACTGCGTGGGGAGACGACGACGGAAAACTTCTAGAAACAGACTTCTGCGTTTCGGCTACATCCAATGGCCTGCCAGATTCGATAATTGCTCCGGTCTTCTCCCTTTGGGAGGCACTTAAAAGATAAGGTGTATGCAGACAGAGTGGGAAGTGTGAAAGTGTTGAAAGAACAGATTAGGAAGGAAACTGAGCACAAAACCCAAGATATCCTTCATCGTGTCAAGAAAAAATGTTGCTAATCGTCTTGTGCAGTAAACGAGATTGTCACATAGTAGATTGTTATTTAGCAGACATAGAGTTTCACAAATAACTGGAGCAAATGCACACAAAGCACAGCAATAAAGTCTACGTGGAATAAAATGTAAATGGACAAGTGTAGTGAAAATGCTGATATAGAAATTTGGAGTTTCATTGCTAAGTATATTATTTTTAAAATGGGCAATCTAAAATGTGCACTCTGCACAATCGGGATTTTCAACAGTATTTTAAAACACTACTCATATTGAACGAGAGTTAATTTTAGGAATACACAGCACATGCCATCAATAAGATATTTTTGAACGTCATCTCAGATTATAAGTCTCTTTCTCGTTAGGGCAAAAAATTAAATTCTCTTTTACAGTTCACAGATGTATTTCAAATCTAAAACAAGACCAAGAAATAAAAAGCTAACAGTAGGAGAATTTGAGCTAGTTTCAACTAAGGAAATTTTTTCACATGCTGATGTTAATATGCAAAAGGAAGTTCCAAAGTCCTCCCAAACTTTGATAAAGTGATCGCCAGCTATCGAAATTTGCACGACAATGTAAAAAAGCGAAAATTGTTCAAGCATATTTATTTATTCATTAATGTTTTTACATAAAAGGTATCTCTAGCGATTATTTAGGAATAAAATAAAAATTAAGAGGTAACTCTGATGATTTTATCTTCTACTAACCGACAAGTAAATTAGAAAATGGGATTTCGTTTAGTGTGCATTAGTGAATGAATCTGTTAATCCCTTTAAGCGAAGGTTGTATAACAAGTATATTCATAAAACAACTCCTTTTACAGATGCAGAAACAAAAATTATCTCTCTTAAAAAAGTCTAGAGACGATGATAATTATATCTTAACATAATTCTCTAGCTGCTACATTAATAATAAAATTAATGCAGAAAAGAAAAATAATTTTCAGATCAGTAAATCTAATTTTATTCAGTAATCTAATAACATACTTGTAAACTTCCTTTTTGACAATATTCGGTTACGAGACAACAGTGAGGCGGATCTATGCAGCAGCCAACAAATCGAACAATGTGTTCATGCTGAAGGTCTTTCATCTAAAACAAATACGTAAATATCCATATTTTGCATCTAAAATTGGCGTATATATAACATACGTGAATAAAAGACCATTTTTATTTAATAATGACAAAAATGAAAGCGAAAGAAAAATGTTATATTTTTAGTTCTGCTGCAGCCGTTATGAAGCGAAAAGTTTAGATACAGCAAGAATTCATTTTAGAATTTCACAATTTGATTTTCATTGCTTTTAAATTTTCATTGCAATGAAATTTTTAAAGGATTGAAATTTATTGATGATTTCAAACAAAGAATGTGATATCAAGTATTTTATTCGCATTCGTTAATCCATGAGAAAATATAAAAAATCAAAAATGTGCGTTATTTTTCGACATTAAAATTTATTTGTCCTTAAAATTTGACGTTTCCCGAGAAAGGTTTTACTGTAGAAAAACTAATGACGCATGTAGAAAAATTATTCGACACTAAAATTATATATGAGATAAAACAATGATAAGAATGCATGGTGTTTCACATTGAATGAGACAAAAAGAATTGTATAGAAGAAATTCTGTAATTGATTTATTTAGTCGAATTAAATTAATTCTGAAACTACAGTTATACAAGTTTTATCTGGCAACAATAAAAAATCTCCCGGTTACGAAATCCCCTGTAGAGGCGCTGTTAATCAAAATGTCGCCAACCATGCAGGAGAAAGCGTACTGTACTTGTATTTTGGAATACGCCAAAACACTGGGCTATGGAGTCGGTAAGCAAAATGACTGACTCCGGCTCTGATTCTCGGAATTTTAAAGATTCCGACTACCTCATATATATATAAACATATACACATGTCTTACAGCTTATTTTTTTTAATATAAAAGAAGTAATGTATGCTACCAAAAAAGAATTGATGGCATAGCAGATTATTTATATTAATTAACATTTATTATGAAATGGAAAAACTGGCATTAGTATTTTCTAAGAAGCAGTATAGCTTTGTCAAGATCTTCTTTGATAAAGGACCGTTGATTCGATTTGATAAACTTCAGAGCTGAGGAATAGTCTTTTCACACTAACTTCAGTAGGAGGAAGAGCTGTTACTGTTAGGGCTTTTATTCTTTTAACTTTTCAGGATAGATTTGTATAAGTTCTAAAAGCGGTGTCTCATAAGAGCGATCATATTTCTCTATTTCTTCAAGGACTGTGTAGAAATTTTGTTTGTATTTTTTCATTTCTATATCCAAGAGCTCTTTTTCGTTTATTTTCATTCGCTTTGCCCTAGCCATTTCAATGTTATCCAAATATTTCTCCAAGTCATCAGTGGAAGAGTGATAAAGACTCAGTTGTAATGTCTGCAGTCCAACTTTCTTGATTTGAATACTCCAGTTGTTCTGAGAATAATTTCATTTTTAGTAAAAGTTCATAGATGGCTGCCTTTTTAATTTGTTCGTCATCCAGCAAAATTCGGTGTTTTGGATATACATATATTAAACCCAGCACGATCTCATTTTCTAGCAAAGTAGTTTCTCTTTTCCTCATTGAGGAAATGATTGCTTACGAAATAAGCCCTCCCATTTTAGAAAGAACAAGCATCACATTTTTTCATTCTCACAGAAAACTAATTCTTCAGAATGTGGCTTTTTTTTCGGATAAATACGGTGTATAAAGAATAGTTTCCAGTTCTGTAAGATCATTCCACAATTTTTCTGTTAATGAAACTTTAGGGTTATCTACATCTTCTAAATAATGTTTTTAATTTCTATGAGCTGAAAAAGTAACTAAATGAATCAGTTGATTGAATAACTAGCCGCTAGTCGGCCATCTTTCGTCTGGCTTTTAAATGTACCGGAAAAATGCCTGAAGGAAACACTAAACATTAAATTTAAAAACTGCACAGAATATTACTCTGCGGAACAACTTTATCAAAAAAAAAAAAAAAAAAAAAAAAATCAACAAAATGCATTAGATATATAAAAAATGACAATGAAATATGCTAATTTCTTAAAAACAGTGACATAAAAAATACAATGAAAAATTATTGCCAAACCCATATTTCTACAAGAATGAAACTTTTCAAAATGATGCGATTTCATCAAAAATCTATCAACAACAATAAGAAAGGAAAATTGTTGCCAAACTCACATTTTTAAAAATGTGAGAAGTGTACTTGGAAGCTTCATTAAAAAATTTTAAAAAATACAAAATATTATAATTTTTCCAAAATTCTTTTTGTAAAAGCAGTCGCAAGGATGAAAGTTTAACGTGTCCAAAAATCAAAGAAAAATAAACTGTACATTTTTTAAAATAAACTTTTTTAGAAAAAAATCCCGTTGAAAAGGTGTTAAGCTCACTTTGTTAAATAAATTCGTATTTAATCGATTTATTGAAAAACGAAATTTATTTTAAGTTCGTAAAATAGCTAAGTGCCTGCGTTTCATGACGATATGAAAATGGAGTGTGTAGAGTAAAATTTCCCTTTCCTATAGCCCATTATGTCTCAGAATGACGCGATTTCGTCACAAAACATAAAATAAAAAAACATTCGAATTCGAATTTCGAAAAAATCGCTTCGAGGTGCACTGGCTCTTGTCTAGATGCACCTATGTACTAAATTTCGTAGTCGTGGGTCTATTAGCTTACGTGCAGCGCGAACGAAAGACACACACACAGACAGACTCTTTCTTTTTTTATATCGATAGAAGACGGCAAATATCACATCTATATTATTAATATGTCGATTAAATAGAAAGTAACTAAACATTATTATTGTATATAGTCTATAAATAAAAATAATAACTCGGTTTTCATTAAATGTTTTTCCAGTTCACTTTAATTTCATTTCAAATTGAAACTGAAGTCGGAGTCAACGTGTTTTTTCCAGCTCTGATTCCTTTTACCCAAAATTCTACCTAACTCCGAATCTAATTCCACAGCTCTGCCAAAACATCATCCTATATTGTCGTTCAAAGATGTTTTCGCAAATCTGGTCGCATCGTTACAATATCGAACGGTGGGTGAAGCAATTTAAGGCAATTTAAGGACACCGGCTACATGTGTAAGAAAACCAGCCCAAAACGAACAACAGCCAACATCGAATTATTGGAAAAAGTCTTGAAACATTTTTATGAAGTCCCACAGAATCAGCGCTTCGTGCGAGTTCTGAGCTCAATGTGCTTCATGTAACGGTGTGGCTTGTGTTACGGAAACATCTACAATTCTAGCCATACATCTTTCAGATGGTGCAGGCGTTAAAAATCTTCCAACAAACCGTTGCGTTTTAGAGAATTGGCAAGATAAGTTAGAGATAGAGGATTTCGCGAACAGGCTTGTGTTTACGGATGAAGCTGCTTTTAATGTTTCCGTGAAAGTTAATTGGCATAATTTACAATTCTGAGGAACAGAAAATCCGCATGATATAATGGTACATGAGCGCGATTCTTTGAGCGAAGGTTAATGTTTTGTGCGCCATTTCCAACAGTTGAGCGTTTGTTCCTTTATTCTCCGTGGACAAATCGATTGAAATGTGCGTTTGCCAAGATATTCTATTAAGAGTAGTTGTTCCACTCAGCAGGAGGAGGCAGTTCTCAGCTTTATTCTGCTGCAAGACAATGTTCCACCATATTAGCAAAAAAGCACAGGCCAGTACTTGAATAAAAGTCTACGCAATCGCTGGGTTGGTCATGTTGGGTCAAACGATATGCCATTGCTTGTTTGGCCCCAAGATCCCCAGATCTAACCCCCTTGTGGTTTTTGTACGGGGTTTTGTTAAAGACAAAGTGTTTGTGGAATTTTTCCAGGACCTACAACAAATGAAACAGCATATAACGGAAGTGCTCGAATCATTAATAAATGATATTCTATCACAAGTGTGGCATGAATTGGAATACCGCATAGCTATTTTCCGTGTCACCGGAGAGCCACATATAGAACACGTACAGAAATTTGGATAACTTCAGTTTCAGTGGAACATTCATTTATCAAAATAACTTAATTACAGCGTTTACACAGGTATGCTTTCTCTTTATCCCATTCAATATGAAACACCCCGTATATTTGTCCCTAAGAGGAAGAACTTGGTCTTAATCCATGCCAGCGTCTTTTCTGAAAGATAAATGCAAAGGGAAGCCCATCCCCCCTCTAAGTTTTATTTTAAAGCTACTATTTATTCTGTGTCGAACTTCTCAACCTTGTGCATCTATCAACCTCTTCTGATACAATAGTTTTTTTTATCGACCCCTTTATATTTTTGCTCTGTAATATACAGCAGATAACATAATATTAATAATTATATATTTAAAGTACATAACTTAAAGATAACAATTCGAATAAGAATGTGAGCAAAAGATTTTGGGGGAAAATGGTTTATTAGGTCTTATTATTTTTAATTTTGCAAACATAAAATAAGTTATCAGACAGAAAACCACAGATTCTAATTGTTAAAAAGTTCGATATTCATTAATTTGGAGGCTGCACTTGATGTATTGACACAATTTTTTTGAATATTTGATTTAGAAAAATAAAAGAAAAGAAATATTTAACAAACCGTTCAGAAATATTTAACATGTTTCTTTCTTTCCATACTAAGTTATTGATCTAACTAAAACCTGCTTGCACTGGGTGAGAGGCGGGAAAATTCAATTATGTTTGTTCGGCAACAACTTTAATTTTGGGATATTTCTCTCGGAACTTTAAATTCCAAAACTTAGCGTACCTATGTGTTTTGAATAAGACTTAACTTATTTATATGACAAAACTTTATACCGATTAACAATTAATTATCAATTTTATCAACACATACAAAGCCCATTAAGAACATCCAAACTAAATTCTATTTTGCATAGTGCTGCCATCTATTGGATTAAATAAAATATAAAGACTAACCTCATAAAATAGTTTTTTAGTTCTCCTATTTTGGGGATTTAGCGTTCACTACGCATTTTGCCGCCCGGTGCAATCTCTAAAGTCAACTAAATTCTACCGCCTTGTACTCTCCTTAATTCTTAATATTTTGGAGCTTTTAAATTCTGATATTCGGTGTGACTGCTCCAGTTGCAACGATTCACGCGCTGATTGCCTTCATTCCATTAAACTGGAAATGTCCGAATATAAATTATACATCAATGATTCATGCTGGCATGATCGAATTAAGATGCATTATAATATTGGAATTTGGGTATAAATAAATTCCCGTGCATTTAAATAATGGCAAGAAATAACTTAAATGTTTTTTGTATGCTCGGTTATAATTTTTCAAGCATTGCTTCTAACACATGCATTTAGAAGCATTTAGAGTTGTTTCTATCTGCAGAGTGAGAAATAGAAAATTAAAGAAATGAGTATTTGAACAAAGTTAATATACCAGAATTCAAATTTTTATTTCACTAAAAGTTTTCATTTTTAAAAAGCAAAGTTATTTTTTAGCAAATATTTATTATATATATATATATATATATATATAATAAATAAGATAAATAAGAATAGTAGTTGGTAGGAACATTGCAGCGACCTTGCTATCTTTTTGCAGCATTATGCGCAAAAGTTTTTGAGACCAGATAGGTCTTACGTCTAATTGCCAGTTCGCTTTACATTTTCTTTTCCAATTAATATATAATATATATATATATATATATATATATTTATTTATAGTGATATAAATTATTGTGATATATATATATCACAATAATTTACAGATCATACAGATAGTCTGAAAAAAAAAAAAAAAAAAAAAGCCAAATGAAGAAAAAGATTGGAATTTTATGTATTATTCAGTATATTTGAAGATATCTTCAATTCCTCAGCATCATTCCTATTTTTTTACATTTTCTATTATTTTCATACACAGTGATTTCTTGGTGAACTTGCATGTGTGCATTAATTCCTTAATATGTTTTTAGGTCTTTTATTTTACATATCTTTAAGTATTTTGCTCTAATTTTTACTGCCTTGTATTATTACGTATGACCGCAATTTCCTTCATCTTACCAGTTCATATCCATTATATTACTAGCTCAAAATCTGTTTACTTTTTAGTGTCGGTTATTGGTCAACTATGCGTGGCTTGGGATCTTCTTGGGATTTTATGTCCAAAGTTGTCTTAGAAATTACTCTAAACTTTCACATAAGATCTATTTCTTTTTGAAATATTCACAAGACTTATGTTTCGATGGAAATAGGTCACCTAGACCAAGAATGCCGGGGATGCATCACTGGTATCACATCTGTCTACTACTCTAAACATTCAAATTTTAGGTGACTGTTGGTAAATTTCAGGACTGTTTCGAAACCATAAAAGATATAGATAATTTAAACCGAGGAAAAGAAATGCTTTAATGTTGGAAATAAAATAATTCTACATTAGGCAACATTATTTTATTGAAGAAGGACTTATAGTGATAGAAATGTTGATTCTATAACTTTTATCGTTTATCTAGAATAATAGGATGTAACAAAACATTCTTGCGTCATATACTTACAGTCATAAAAATGAAAGGCCTCGCAATGCTTCAAAGTGTAAGTATAATAAAATCACAAATTTAAGATCTAACCTTTTTAAGTTCCAGCAAAAGCGACCGAGTTATGTCCACCCTAGATTTGTTGATGGTCTTTATAGCTACAATCATGCCCTGAAAATACATTTACAGTTTTAATTTTGAGCATAGATAAACGTCAAAAAAAGACCAGCGCACTAAAACAGCAGCTTTATACAGGATTAGTGAAATAAAAAAATTGCAACTAAGTTTAAAATTTATATCAGAAAATATAATATATTATAATTCATATTTAGGAATGCAGAGAAAATGTAAAAGATTCAGTAGCTGATAATTCTAACAAATTAATGTATTTCCTAACCTTAAAGTTTCATTTTCGATAGGGAAGTTTGATAGTACTAGATGGCAGTTGGACAGCTTTTTATTTGTTATGTTGCAAAATCTCAGAGATAATACTGTATAATGAAATTTAAAGAAAATATAGGGGAATGAAATTAATCTATGCTCTCATGGTTAAAAACACAGAAAATTAAATTTTCAATGTTCTAGATGTTTTTCATTAATGCACAATTCATTTTCGATTAACGCACGATTAATATTCGATTAATTCATGATTCTAGGTATTTCGATTACTCATGTACACTACTATTAATAAAAAATAAGAAAAATAAAATTGATGAACAGATAAGATTTTTAAGAAATTATACTTTTTTTGCGATATCTCCAAGATCTATTTACATCATTTATTTCAAAAGCAGGAACTTACTTTATAATATCCGTTTCTGACAAAAACGTGTCTGTTCATACTCGCAATTGATAAAGCATCTGATGGGCAGGAGCTCTGCAATGAAAAATGAAATATAATTAAGATAATTAGGAAAGTATATAAAACTAAACTTAATGTAATTCATGTTTCTGTCTGTTTATTAACAATAATATAATACAAGATTTTTTTGAAATCTATGTCGATATAAATAAGAGACTAGAAATGGGGAAAGTGTCATTAGTTAAACGAAACAGGGTGGGATTTTATCGATTAGAAAATATTCTATACTCAATATTTCTATATTTATTTTTTTAATAAGTTATTACTTTATAACTGCTAAATAAAAAACATAGTTTTTGCTAAATAAAGATAATAATTAATCTGTTATTAATTTCACACTACATTGATGTTAGAGATAAAAAAATTAATAATTGCGGAATACTGAGATAACTAATCGAAGGAAAATTCCATCAATATTGAGGTTTTAAGAAATAATGCAACTTAACCCCATAAAAGTTATTTTCACTCCCAAAATTATAATAAACTTTGACAAATTGGAAGCATGAAATGCTTGCAATGACATCTTGAACGGCATACTGTACTGTTTATTTTATGAACATTATGGCTTATAAATACACTATTTAGGAGAAAAAAAGAAAAGAAAAGAAAAAAATTCTGAAATTCATATTTTAATGGTCTCCCAAAAGAGTTTATTAAGGTTTTTTACACTCTCGCTGAGCTCGCAATTTACCAGTCTAATCTTACACTCACGCCAACACTTTTTTTTCGTCTTTTTAGCTTTATTATTAAGCGTCCTTTTCTTCGCACTTACGCCATATACAATTCAACAGCCAAATTACAAAAATTTTAAAAGCAGCCTAGCAGTATAAATTTAGAATTTCCGACACAGGGTTAAGTTTTGGCATATATTTTCTAAGTTTAGGTATCAACTTTCAGTTTTACGAAAATGACTGTACCAAACGTATTTTTGTTAGCCAAATAGGCATTAACCCAGAAGGGCTATTAGTCTCGAAACGGCATTTTGCGTCGAATTATTATAAACGGCTGTATCACTTTTCAAATTACTGCCACCGTATATTATCGCCTTATATTATATTTAAAGAAACTAAATAATGAATAATCATCCACATGAATGCATGCATGTTTCTCTCATTGTGAAAAACAACGGTACCTTGAGTCATCAAATTTTGAATAACATAGTCCTCCACTCAAACCTGCACCTGCAACCTGCACTCGATGGGCACCTAGAAGACCGAATTTGAAATTTGGAATTTGTTTTATTGTCTATTTCATATTTTGTAAATCTGTAACAAATTTTTGATTAAAGAACTCAACGATTTCAAAGCCAGCAATGGCAACACTGTAGGGAATAAAACACTTTTGTCTCCAGCGCGGTATATCGAAAATTGTAAAGATATGCTGTTTTTAAACAGCACATCTTTAGAATGTAGCTCGATAGACAACTTTGCTCATTTTGAAATCATTGAGTTTGTTAATCAAGAATTCATTAAAGTTTTTATAAAATATGAAATATATTAATAAAACAAATTCTAAATTCGGACTTCCAAGTGCCCATGTTTGGATGGAGAACTACATTCTCTTTATGGCTCTAGGTACCGTTGCTTTTTCACAATACCAGAAATATGCGTACATTCATGCCCATTCTTCATTATTTAATTTCTTTAACTAAAATGCAGGACGATAATATTTGGTGCCAACAATTTGAAAAGTGATTCAACGCTTTTAGTGATTCGATGCAAAATCTCGTTTCGAGACCAATAGCCGTTCTGAGACAATGCCCCTTTGGGCTAAAAAAGGCGAAACTCAAGAATACCGTTAGACTGACTGGTGATGTCAGTCTGGTGAAGTGTAATTCCTGAAACTCCGGATGCAAGTATTCTAGGAATAAAAATATAAATGATTAAAAAAATTAAAATCAATACCCGAATAGTTTAAATTCGAGAAAGGTATTTTTTATATAAAACAAAACGATGTAAAGTATTACTTTAAGTTGTAAATCGTACTTAGGTATTTCAATATCATTCGATTCGATACTTTTTAAAATATTCATCCTCTGAAGACCACCAGTCTCTTATGACATAGCATGCAGCAATATTTTCAATAATATTTAGTCGCAAACCTCAACTCCAACTTAAATATTTTGATTTGGAAATATCTTAACATTATAATATAGATTTAATCATTTAAGATTTGTGTCTTTTTTTTTTTTTTTTTTTTTTGAAGACATGCAGAGATACAATTTAACTTCGGAATCCTTGGACCGCATGTAATTATACCAAAAACAAAACTGAAGAAACTGTTGATATCATTTCAGTATTGATTTGTTATATAATGCCACTTGTTCAGCTACGAAATGAAATAGATATTATAAATATATAAACGTGACAAATCATTTATACACTAATCTTTGTGAAAATTGCAGTACCATGAAGGAATTATGCAATTTGAACCGAACTTACAGAAATGTTAAGTGAGGTAAGACATGCAAATGATTAGAATTATGAAGAGACACCGCGTGCGTGAAGCGTGAACTGAGAACCGGCCGTTTGTTCCATGTATATAAGGACTGTAAAGTGGCGTTAAAATCTGTTTATCGTCCTCTGTCTGCAGTGAACGTTAAATTAGTGGTCAATATGCCTTGCCAACAACGGAGGATATGATGCACCAACAAGTAACGGAGTTCGAACGAGGCCGCACCATCGGTATTCGAAATGGTGGACTTTCGTATCGAGCAATCACAGCCCGCACGCAGCGTAATGCCACAACAGTGGAAGAAATGGGCAAAGAAGAATCAAACAAAGTGAAATCTTGGTAGTGGCACAAGCAATAGCACAACAGCATGGAGTGATAGATACCTCATTCGCATGGCTGTGACAAGATTGTACAGAGTCCTCTCGTGTGTTAGCACAACATCGGAGCACGGCTAGAGTGTTGCGTTGTCCACTCCACGGTCCGTCATCGTCTGCTGCTCCACCTTCTGTGGGACAACACAAAATGTTAATTGTTTTTTCCAATGGATCCCGCTACAATCTGGAGTACAATGGTGGAAGAGTACGCGTCACGCGTTACAGAGGGGAACGTCTGCTCCCACAGTGTGTCACACCGCACAAACGCCTGGCATTATGGTGCGAGGAGCTATTAGGTACAATTGTCGATCCCAATTGTCCAGACTGCGGGCAACCTCAACAGTGATCGCTACATAAGGGAAGTTGTGAAGCCAGATGTCCTCTCTATTCTTCGACGCATTCCAGTGCTGTATTTCAGCAAGATAATGCCTGTGCATATATTTCTCTGTTTCTCAGACTGCACAAGCCTTCTTTAGGGCACAACATTTCTTTAGAGCTTCTGTCATGGCTTGCTTATTTCCCTGATATGTCGCGCATTGAGCATATCTGGAATTTCATCAGCCAACGACTTGCTCGTACAGCTGGTGGGGCACATACTAAGAGGGATCTTTGGCATCATGTCGAAGATATATAGAATGCCATTTCCCAGGATTATATTCAGAATTTTTATGATGCAATGTCATTATGTGTACAGGCTTTCATCTCTCAGTGTAGGCAGACACACAAAGTACTGTCACTTTCAATTAAACAATCAGGGAAACAAATCGCAACGAATGAACGATTAATTGTTTTGTCTCATCTAAGTAATTTTCTTAATTAAAAATTCGAAATGAAACTCTTTGATTTATGTAATACATATAGTACTTTATTATTCTTAATTAGATATATTATTTCTCGTCGTGGTCTCAATCGGGCTGCAGAGCACTGAATTTAAAGCAGAGCTGCTCTAATTATTAGCATCGATGCTTATCAATGTTCTAAAAAATAATGGTCCCTTTCAGTGATGGTGGTCTACGAGAAGGAGTCCTCGAGGCAGATTTTACTGTTTATTGTATACTCCCACTGCGTAATGATTTCTCAACTCTGGTCTAGAAATACATTTATGATTCACAGCCATTAATTGTAACATTATTTTATTATATTGCTTAGAATATTGATTTTTCATGTAGTAGATCACAGAGTAGCATTATTACAACAATTCAGTTTGAGTTCAAAGCTTGCATTATATCAAAAAGGAAGGTAGAAATTATGTTCTTGCTTGAAATTTACTTTTTAAAAATATAATATAATTTACTTTAGGAATATTTTGAAATGCATCTTATTTTCAGTATCTTTTGTAATTTAGGCAGCTGTTTAAAATCAATAAACTCCTTATACCTTATACCGAACTGACAGCAATAACAGTATGCAGACATTTAATATATGTTTGGCAGATGAAAACCAGACGACCAGAGAAGTAATCAGTGAATAATATATATTATTCTCCAGGTCTTAAACCGAAAACTAGAACTTTATTATATTATTGCAAAAATAAGAAATACTGGGCTTTCAGAATACGAAAAATGCTTTAGAAATTGCTGAAAAGAAGTTTCGAAAACCCATCAAGATAACGCACGCAAAATCACTTAAAGAGTTTGGGATTATAGGAAAGTATGTTCCGGAAAATATAACGAAGTAAGTTTTAGGAATTTTTAAAATGTTTTATTATTTAGTTTATTCTGTTACTTTATAAATTTATTTAGTAACCACAGACAAAAAGTTCTTAAAAGCAAAATATTTTTAGTCGGTACAATGTTAAAAATTTTAAAGAACTGTAAAATAAAAAACGCTAATACAATTTTATTTGTGCAATCTAATTTTCTTTTTTGAAATTCGATTTCTGTAAACTTGTAAGATTAATTTAAATTTTCTAACTAGTTATAATTTTTAAATCTTCTTCTTTTTAAACTTCCGATTCGTATACGAAAAAGATGCTTTAATATTAATAAACACTTAAATAAAAACATATAAGAAAAGAAGCATGGATATGTTTGATAAATTTGAATTGAATTCAAGATCAATTTATCCCATCTTTATGCCGACACATGAATTGTTTAATCCATTCAGCAAGCGTCTCTAATTGTTGTAACGAACTAAAAACGACACAGAAGAATGTAAAATTTTTCCTGAGTAAGCTACATTGAGATT